ATTAGTCGAAACGAGAGATCGCGAGAGCAATTCTCTGTGTATATAGATGTGGATAGTGGTAACTTGAGGAGAATAAAAAAAGTTGATGGAAGAAAAAGGAGTTGTGTAACGAATCAATTAATTTGATCGAAATAAAGTTGAAGAGATTCATCCTTCGAGAGAATGAAATTAGGTTTCGTGAATATATATGATAATTTAATACGAAAGAAATTTATGAATTTTTCTTGGACGAATTTAATCGAGAGTTGGTGAACATGTTGCCGGATCAAATTTAAACGTTAAATATAGTTTAGATTTAAAACAGGAATATCTGCAAGTTTCTGATAATTTGAGAAGAATAAACATTATGTTATGCTAACAGCAAAAACTTTTAATATATGGTAAGAGTATTAAAGTTGTGGTACTTCGTGCAAAATTATTTTAAGATGGATGGTGGATCGTTCAGAATTGTAGGATTAATTTTTTTGAAACTCTTCCTGCTTCGGAAGAACTCTCTTTAAATTGGATTAAAATTTCATAATTTCGAAAGGAATAAAGTATTGAATATATCGAATAATCATCGCGATAAAAAAAAAAATAAATAACGAAAACTCGTTACACGGAATGTAATGATACGTGACACGTCCTTGGCGATATATGATCAAGGTCAAGGTCATCGAAGCAAGCAAATCGAAGCGAATAATTATCGGATGATTATTCGTCTAAAATTTTTCCAGAGAGGATAACCGACAACCATAACCGATCGATCTTTTCAAAACTCTCGAGTTTCCCTCTTTCGGCTCACCAATCGACACCGGCAACTTCCATAACCGTAAAATCAACAAATTTACGAGAATCGTCCCTTGCCCCCTCTAAAGTTTCCAATAATTTCCACTTCATCGAGCAATAAATAAACGCGTTACGAACAATTCGAATATTTCACCGCTTCTAAGTTCCCTCTTAAAAAGAACACGATAACAAATCGATACCTTCCAATTACCCGAATAAACGGGACGAAAACTTTCTCGCCTCCTCCTCCTCCTCCTCCTCCTCCATTTTTCCAATATCCGAGCATAAACTCGACGTTAAACGATCGAAATTCCTTTTACCGCGAGATTAAGCCGAAGAGAACAAGCGATCCCTATTAATCAAATTAAGACGAGTCTGGAACAAATCCTCCCCCCGACAAACGCCGCTATTTATAAGGATATTTTTTGCAGAAGGAGCATGGAACAAAGAAGTTATTTAAGCTGGTAATTCGCGGCGACTCGACCCGCATAGCTAACCAACCAACCTCGACGACAGGCCAAGGGGTTGGAAAAATAAAACGAAACGCGGAAGGAAGTTGGACGAAGGAGAGGAGATCGATCGACCGTCGGCCGTACGATGCAAGAAGACGAGCCCTGGCGCAAAAAAGGAACAAGCGCATAATTACGTTAATGAAGGGGCCACCGTGTGATTAAATGCAACGAGGATCGAACCGTCGGTTCGCAAAACGACGAACCGCTTTTTATAGTGTAACCGTGAAACGTTCTCGAGAACCCTCTCCATATATATATATATATATATACAGGGAAGGTGGTAATTTCCATCTCTCCTCCGACAATCGTCCAATGCGGAGGAAATCAATCGTATTCTCTGTGGCGGAATTCTCTCGGTCAAAGATCGACGCGAGAATTGTGACACGATCCCTTGTATCCAACGACGTATATTGCGAATGTTTCCCTCACAGTACGACAGGAAATTGTGAGATTAATCTCGAGATCGATGGATATCAACCTGTGTCTCCTTAAATTTTCGGACTTTCGTTCCAAAGATATTATCGTATCTTTAAAGGAAAGCAAGAAAGTTTTAGTTTCATTTCGTTTTGCGATTAGAAAAAGAAGAAGAAACTCGAGCAAAGAATTTCAGCGTTGATTATATATGAATATTGTATTTGTACAAAATTTTAATTTGTTCATTTTATAAAAAAAGATAAAACTTTCTTAATTAACACCCTCTTCAAGAACGACTTTTCCTTTTACTTTCAGATTTTCGTTACAGATGGACACTTATCTAGGCCAACTATCTTACAACTGTTGGAAATTCGCTCGTCTAAAATAGTAATAAATAAAGGAGTTACGAGGTTACGATCTCGTGAATCTCGCGATCTCGTTCTTCGCCTTCGCCTCGCCTCGTGTCGAAATCTCGCAATATAATCTCGTATACCTGCAAACGTGTTTGCGTGACTAGCGTATCACCGTTTTCGAGCCGGTTCGAATCTCGTTCGCGCCTATTCGCAAAGATGAATACGGAACGCCGTTGCAAAAAGAACGAGAACGGTGCTTCACGTTGACTGACGAGACACGAAGGAAAGACGAAACGCGACCTTCGACCGCGCCACCGCCCGTGGTGAACGGGGTGGTGAAGGGAAACGGCGAGCGTTCGAGGATTTAGAATCGCAACCGGTGAGAAAAGGAATTAAATACGTTTCTCCTACCGTGTAAATATTAAAACACGCTCGTAAAAGTGATTCCTAATAAAGTAAAGTAAATTGGATAAAATTCCATATTTTTTTCGGAAACAAATAATTCGTAATTAATATTATAAAATTATAATAGTTATCCATCGGGATATATAAGAGGATTATATTTATATCGTTATAAATACGAGCAATTAGAAAATTAATAGAGAAAAAAAAAAAAATCACGGCGTGTTAAAGCGTCTCGAACGCTCGACCACTCCTTTGTACACAGGGGAGGAGATTAAATGACGAGGATTAAGGAATGGCAAGAAACTAATAAACGATTACTCTCTGCTCAAGTCTGCCCGCTGCCGCTTGACTTCTGCAGTATCTGTATTTCGGGGTGTTTCTGTTTAATGTGACCCTTCAAATTATCCAGCCGTGTCCTACGACATCCGCATAGGGGGCACACGTAATTCCCCGGATTGTGGGTCAAGTAATGATTCTTTAGATTCGACACTATCCGACCGCACAGTTTGCATTTGCTAGTGTACGTGTAGGGCAGCTTTTCGAAAAAGTCCGACAGATTAACTTTCTCAATGCACGTAATTGGCGCGCACTCGGTACCCTGAGGGGTTAAAAGTGTCGTATCTGCAAATAGAGAAAAGTCGTGTGTAGAAAAAAAAAAAAAAGACGGCCATCGGATACGTGATACTACGATCCAAGGGGGAGAGAGAGAGAGAGAGAGAGAGAGAGAGAGACA